AACACAAAGGCACTGATGTCATCTACAGTAAGTTACTTGGTCTTAGACTTAGCACAAATACACACAAATTAAAAAGAAAAAGCAGTAATCCTCATTCACATAAATTTACCTGTTTGGTTCTTTGTTGCCGTCAAGAAGCTTGACTTTGGAGCAACAGGATTTGATACAAGAGGAGATCCTTTGGCTGTGGAGATGATCTTTGAGAGCAAGGATTTGGCAGGTGGCCCTTCCCTGAGCGGCTGATACAATGGCGTAGATGGTGTTTCAGGTGCCGAAACAGTCACTGGATTCTCCTCCCAGCCCTCATCAAAATCATCAATATCAAAGTTATCGAGATCAAAGTCTGGATCATTCACATCCAAACACTCTGATGCAGGAGTACCAGCAGGGGCTTTGCTCGGACCTTTCAGAGCAGTGCTTGTAATGGGCCTCTCCGGAAGATGCCAGTGTTCACCGTTTCTCACCACTGTTTTTTCACACCAGCTGTTGTTGAAAGACATCTCTGAGGGATGGCTGAGAGAAGTTCTGTCTTTGCTGTTCAGCTTGGAAGAAGAAAGTTCTGCAGTTTCTAGGCAGACAATCTCCTGAGCAGTTTGCTTCGAAACATAAGAGGTAGCCAAGTCATCAAGTGTTTGATTATTTTCTGTAGAAAAATTGCTTGAATTAACAGTCCCGGAAAGCATAGATGAAAGATTTGTAGATTTGGGTGAGTTTCTGACAAAACTCCTATTAGGGCCAGAACACAAAGCAGTGCCAGAATGCGCAGAAGAGTCTTGTTGCACACACGCCTTCCAATTTCTAGGAAAAGTGTTGTTTGTGCTACTTGTGTTCAAAGTGACAGAACTAGCTAACAATTTTCTCCTGAAAGAGATGACAAAGGAAGGAAGAATGAAAATGAATATTTAAGTCACAAGCACTGATATATCACTTTCTGCAACATACATTAAACATTTTTGTCTCTTTCTTCCTATTTAAAATATTAATATACATTGTTACATTGTTTTTTTGTCCAACTCAGGATATTATGATTCTATATTATAAAAATATTTCAAACAAATCTAGAGAAGAGAGAATAATATCAGAACTCAGTTGAACACGATAATTACAAAATAAATACACGTTCACCACAGGTATTAAAGGAACTCTTAATAGTGAAGAACTGATTCAGGCAACACAGAGCATAAAGTTCTTAAAGGCACAAACCCAAAGTTAAAAAGTAAAAAATACGCTTGAAACAAATCATGATTTTCTGTACTTTCTGAAGATTATCACTGACTACAGTAATAATAGAAAAAAAATAGTTCTACCAAGAATGTTTAGAAAAAAGCACTGTTCCAGTCCAATAAAAACACAAACCAAACTGCCAAATCTCAGTATTTTGTCTATGCATTGTGTCACCAAATTATACAGGAGGAGGCAGCCTGTAGTAGCACCGCTCAAACTGAAAGATGACAGGTATGCAGATACTAGTAGAAGTCACCAATCATTACTGTCAGGGATGGTGAGTCTCACAGAGAGAATATTAAATTAATGCCTCAGGTTTCAAGAAATCAGGATGACACTTAGCAGATTATATCGCATCACCCTGCTTCTTCAGAAGCACCTGGTGAGAGTTACCTTCCAGAGAAAAGATACAGCACTACCTGTGCCTCAGCTTGAACATGGAATTGGATTCTTTCTTCTGAAAGCATTAACAATGCCAGGATTCTGCCAGGAAGTCTTCGGATTTTTTTCTAAAACTTTATTTGGTCAGTTATTTTAGGCTTTTTATCAAAACAAAACAAAACAAAAAAAAACCCTTTCTGTACTATGTTTTCAGTGTGATGGAGACACCTACAGGCGTGATATGGTTTCATACAGAACATGGCAATAAGAAATAGTATTTATTGAAACATACCGGAGATCCCTTTGCTGAAGTAGTTCTTTTGCACATGACAGAGACTTCAGCTCATGAATAGGAATGGCATCTACCAGCTTACAAATATCATCCATGACACTGTAGAGTTCCTGTTCCAAATGCGGGCCTTCATCTGCAAGGACAGAGCATACTTCAGCAAAGAGTAATGCTATTTTTTTTGTATCCCATGTAATCTGAGAGCCATCAGAGAACAAGAAGTTGCAAACCATTGCCAAAACCTAATGCATAAGATTTTAAATTATTTCACGTACCTGCGTCCTCTGCCCTAGGATCACTTTCAGCAACAGGCTGTTTTGCTGTAATCTTCTCAGGCTTAGACTCAATGCCATTAGCTGTTGATCTTCCACCAGTAGGAGATTCTTTGAAAATATTACTAACATTAAAACAAAAAGTCATTAAAATATAGAAATGCATTGGATTTACAGACACCTTACAAAAATCCATAAAAGAACTTTATCTTTTGGACTAGCAGCATTTGAGTATAAAAGAAAAAATTCTCATCTAAGTACCATCAGTAAGCTAACATCTAACTGTTACGTGCCAATTTGTACAGACTCGTTTCAATATTTTTCTTTCTCTCACTATGACAGGAAAAATAACTCTGCTTTTTCTGAAGCAAAAGCCACATTTGTTACAACCAATGTTTAAGGTGTTTCAGAAGACATTAATAGCAGCTGTCAACTGCTAACCTACCAAGCAAGAAGTAGTCAAAACCAACTCAAATGGTAACTTTTTAATAAACACTAGTTTAATATTTTTTTTGTTAGTTTTAAAAAATCATCCTAACAATAGTCAGCTTTATCCGTTAGGTTTGTTTTACCTAATGCTTTTTACAGATGGTGAGAAGGAAGGCAGCTCTTCTTCAGGGGAAGGCGGAACTACATCTAAGTAATCATCCTCTTCAAGCTCAATGTTTGCTAACAGCTCGTTGCTGATCTCATCCACCTCTGGTTGGCTGTTTTTCTCACTGTTGCTTAGCTTCTGGCTTCCACCACTTTTATCATTAGTAGCTGAAAGAGAAGCGTATTGATATTGTTGGGAAACACTGAAAACTCTTTCTGGTATAAACAGAAACACAATGGAATAGAGGAAAAAACTATTAGCCATATTTCAAAACAATAGATTAACATAGTTTCTGACTTTTTAAACAGCAAACAAATAAATAGTCAGAAAACACTGTTCAGTGTTAATCAGTTGCATAAAGACATTAATTTAAAAAATAAGGACCAAAAGTTTCAAACCATAACAACTAAGAAACTTAAAACAGAAAAACTAAGTGAAGCAGAGAGCCGCCAAAGATGCATACTGACTGACGGCCATGAATTTTTGGTCATAATTGATGTGTGTGTGGGTTTTTTTTTCCCCCATGTTTGCTTGTTTTTAAAAATCAACATAGATCTCTTCTTCTGGTTTGATATTTCTCATTGTTTCATTTAGGCATCAGTTGATTTTAGATCTCTTTTGTTTGAATTATAAAACTTTTTTTTTTTCCTCTCTAACGTCCCTGCAGATTATTGGTACTTATTTCTGGAATGGCATCATGCACCTCCACTGGTAGCATGGTACCTGCTGCTGCAGAGACAGTTCTGTACTATCTGCAACACCACACATGTACAACACACAGTTACCAATGTGAAACCCACGTGCCCAAGACTACTGTCAGATAGGAGTGTGCAGCTCCCTCTGATTTCACTGAGACCTTGCAAATTCTACATTTCTGAAAAATGAAGCCTTGAGGTGTGCAAACACAAACATGTTTCATTCTAGTTCATTGATGCTTTAAAATAGCCCGCTACCTGTGTGAGCCTCTTCCCTCTCATCATCCAAAGTCGTGCCAGTAGCTAAATTCTCCTGAAGATCCTCGCCCACAATCTTGTCGCTGTCACAGTGGACCAAGTCCTCAAGACAGATGACAGAGCCCTGGGATGAGGGCTGCTCTTCCTCGGCGGGACGCGTTCCTTTGGGCTCCCAAGCCCCAGGTTTTGGGGACGCTGTGTCACCATTCACGGTGCCGGGCAGCTTATCAGCACGGGAGCTGGGTCTCGTGGGAACCTTGCAGGCGGCCCTCTGGCCTTTGGGGGTCTGAAGGGCTGGCTTGGAAAACCGCTTCTCGATGCCCGACAAGTCGAAGTCATCCATGTCGTCCCACTCATCGTCCGCCGCCACGGGGGGGGCCCCAAGCGGCGCGGGACCCCCAGCCCTTCCGGGAGCTGCCAGCGGCCTCCTGACAGCCGCGATCGCCCCCTCAGCAGGGCGCCGGGACACGGGGCAGGGACCGAGGCAGAGCGCGGCGGGGGCAGGAGCCGAGGCCGGGCCGCAGCCCCCAACCGTGAGGGGCTCCCCAGGCTTCCTGCGCTGCCCAGCGGCCGGCTCCGCGTTCACGTCCTTGTCCCGCAGCGCCGAGCTCCCGCTACGCTCCCGGCCGCACGGGGCGGTCCGCTTGAACGTGAAGCCCCTGGAAGAGAGGCGGTGAGGCGGTCAGCCCGGTCGGTCAGCCCGGCGGCCGCCCCCCGCCGCCCCCCGCTACTCACCCAGGCCGGCTCCGCGCTGGCGGCGGCTGCTTGCTGAGGGCGCCGCGGGCCGAGTGCAGCTGCAGCTGCTCCCACAGGTTGTTGTGCGGCACGGCCGCCATGGCGGCACCGGGCGGCCCCTCACGGCCCCGCCGCCGCCCCTCGCCTCACCTCAGCGGGAGCCGCCCCCGCCGCCCGCTCCCGCCACACCGCGCGCGCCCTTCTCATTGGTTCGCATTGGGCGCGCAGCCGCCTCCCGCCTGCCCATTGGACGGCAGCGCTGCGCCGGAAGTGACGACGCGGCGGGGCCGTCTCCATGGCGACGCGACTCGCACCGCCCGCCGCCCGCCTCCTCCACAAAATGGCGGCGCGGGGCGATGGGGGGGGGGGGAGGAGGTCCCCCAGGTTTTGGTGGCGCCGCGCGGAGCCCGTCGGCCTGATGGGGCCTTTTTTTGTGTTAAGTTTGCTTTTCAATCACGTTCAATCCATGTTCATGATCAGAAAGCAACGCTTCCGCTGTTAGCGCAGCATCTCGTGCTGCACGTGACCGTGCTCATTAATTAACACAGCTGTTAACGAGGGAGAGGTGGAGGTGGTCTTTATTCGTCCCGGTAGCAGGCAGCAGCGGGGGCAGCGGCAGCACGACACAACGCACAATGCCCTCTGCTGGCGAAAGGGCTTCTCACAGGAGCCTTGTCAAACGGCAATAAAGTTTTACTTCATTGATTGATTGATAAAAGAAAATCATCCCTTCCTTCACTGCTTTCCTTAAAATAGCCTCACTTGGTCATCCTTTACAAAAATACTGAAAACGTCAAATGAGCACATATAAAACTTAAAAATCACAGCACTCGTCTTTCTCTAGAGAAAGGAAAAATCGCCTTCAGAGAAAAAAAAAGTCCCTAAAAAAGTTGCATCGGCTGACTGAGAAATGAGTGGCTCGGGGAAGGGCTGGGGTTGTGGTACAGCACCCTGATGTCGGGGGCTGCCTGGCATTTGTGCCTCGTGTGCTCCTGGATCTGTCCCCCCTCAGCACGGGGAGCCCGGCACACGCCACCAGCAGCCGGGGGTTCTGGCTGTGAGGGCAGGAGTACACCTGGTTTGGGTTAGGGACAGCGGGCACGGATCTGCCTACCACAGGAAGCTTTGTGCAAGCACAGGAATCTACCTGCACCTAACAAATATCAGCAGACTTCTTTCTTCTTCTTGCTTTCTTGATTCTAGCATTTAGAAATTCACACGTGATCAATTATTCCTTTCTCTGTATCCACTTTCCCCAGCCTGTGCTCTTCTCTTACACCTGGGGAATAGGGTAAGATGCACAAGCAGCAAGACCACACATATTCTTGCCACGTTCAATTAGGAAATACCTGGAAAGAGAAACAAGCAGGTATGAGTGAGTATTCCCTGCTCCTCCAGCAGCCAGCATGCCTGACACCGACATACGGTGACTGCTGTCGTGTGAGTTCCTTTCTCACACCAATGCAAAGAGCAGATACGTGTCACAGAGCTGTTATCTCCAGCAGGTCACCAGGAGATGCCATTCCATTCCCTGTCCCCCTGTACTGCGAGCTAGCACCCAGCTATAAGGTTTCACTTGCACCTGGAAATACACAAGATACCGTGGAGCTGGAGTGAACTTGCAGCACAACCTGTTCCTCTTTGGCTGTGTGAGCACAGAAGAGGCACTGCACCACCACACAGCTCCTGCAGCAGCCAGCTGCATCAACTGCACAGCGGCGCTCCCAGAAGCTGATCTGAGGGCCTGGCCTAACCAGTCACCCCAGACCAGATTTTAGAACCAGCTCTCCTTCACTCCCAAGGCTCGGATGATTTACCTGCCTTTTCACAGATTATGAAACAGCTGCGAAATTTCAGCCTGAGAGCATCAGGGTGACCTGGCAGCTCACGTGGACAGGTGGAATCCCATGCACGTGACATTCTTTTACCAGATACTGGGACCTCCTTACCCATCCATGCCCCACAGAGGGCCCCAAGAGTTCTTAACGATCCAGTAAGGAGTCCCATTTTCTTCTCCATACCCAACAGCTAGGACAGCATGGTTCACCTTGTCGGGAGTGTGCTCACATCGTGGGCTGCAAAAGAAAAATCATGCAGACTTTTTTACATAAAACAATAGCATGTAGTTAATCATGGGTTAGCCAGCATTTTTGACAGCACTTAAACTACAAAAAGAACTAATGGATACTCTGAACTTCCAACTGTGACGAGTAGGGAGGAATCACAAGAAAAGGAGATACAGCTCTGTTTTCTCACTCAGAAATTATTACTGGCTGTATGAGAGACCAGGCTGTTAGGCTATATGGACCTTTGATCCTAGCACCCGGTCTGGCCTTTTGTTCTGAATTAACATCAACACTGTCACAGAAGAACAACCTACAACACACACACACAAAAAAAAAAAAAAAAAAAAAAGCAAAAGAATTTTTCCAACAAAAAACAGAAGTTCTTAGTGCATTTCACACGCTGCACAAGCAACAGTGAGCTCCTCGATCTCACTACACATTTTCTTGTATTTCCTTTGCACTTCCTGTTTTTAAATTGCACTCAATAAAAGTTGCTGACTTGCCATAAAGACAACACAAGCTACATGCTCCCATCTCCACAAATGCTGTTTTTACGCAATTTCAAATTGCAGATCACTAAAAGATCAACAACCACCACTACAGATTTACTCTTTTTGAATCTGTTAACAGTTGGTCTGTGGAGCATAGGCTGAAACCCCTGGGACACCAATTATTCTATACACTTTGACTTTAAATCTACCTGAGACATGATAACTTTACTTGATGTGTTCCTTAAACTGGAGTCCTATTACAAAGTATCTTGACTGTCTCCCTGCTTTCACACCCTACTCTGCCTGTTGCTCGTAGTTAACCTTTTAAAGTAAACACTTACTGCGTTTATTGCAACAGCAAAGCCACTTGGATTCACGACACTGCCTACTCTTTCCCTTGCAGCTCCCTGGGGCAGATCACTCACACTTAGACTCTTCGTTTAATTTTCCCTGCAGTTCTACGTGACTGGGGATTCATTACCCTAAAGCATTTTTCTAGTTCTCTCCAAACATGCACTCTTCCCATTTCTTGCCTAACAGAAATCTACCCTGTCACCATCAGCTTCTGAAGTGTACTAACCAGCCCTTTCAGTAGCTTTTTGCCTTTGCTATAGACCTGTGTTTCAAACACAGCCTGGCCTTGAGGTCAGACGGGCTCCCAGCACTAAACCGTCTGCAAGCACGCTGTTCCCTCTTCCTCATGCTGCTCCCCCTGGGAAATCAGCATTTTAAGGCTCAATTTGCTTATATTTCCAATTTTCTGTTTAAAAGGAAATGCAAGAATACAGTCCACTCCCTGTGTCCAGTGCCACAAAGAAGGAGAAATGGCGATGTGAGTGATTCCAGCCCCTCTTCCCTCTCACCCTCCAGGCTCAGAAACACTCACTTTGAATAGACTCCTTTTCTGTAGTGCATGAAGTTACTCGTCACCTCAAACGCAAAGCTCACCGGGTTGTACTTCCCCACCGCTTCCACCATGCCAGCCTCATCGTACTGCAAGAAGAGGATCCCAGGGTCATTTATGTCCTGGTTACACTGGGACCAGCCACGATGCCCCGGACCAGCAGTCAGGGCACCATGGCCATTCCTGGCTTTCTGCTCACAGGCAGAAACGTGCCTTTCATGGGCACTGAAACACAAGAACCAAGAGTTTATTATTTTCTGGAGGCGCACCCGCTGTGGAAACAAGGCAAAGGCCCTAGCGCCTGTACATGGCTGCAGCACTCCACTGGTGCCACCTTCAGAAAAGGGAGCAGCAGGACTTTTAGGGGACTTTTAGTAGCCTGCACAGGTGCAGTCAGGATGCAAATTCTTCCTGCCACTGCAACACAAGCTGATGGAGGGCAGCTTTGAGAGGCAGCCACCACCGCCACGCTGCCCAGCCCTGTTCAGACACCGCCCTGCAGGCACTGGAGCTGGTTGTGTGCTTTATGGGTGCCTGAGATCACTGCAGCCTGGCAGGTGCGTGTCCTGCTGAGGGAAGGTGGGTGCAGACACCCTGCGAGCTGGGGATGAGGTGAGCCGGCCCTGTATGGGGTCAGCCAGGCCCCGTACACCCTGCAGGGAGCAGCATGCCTCAGGGCAGCCGAGCGCTTTCCATGTCAGGCCTGGCACAGTGTGAATGAACGCCCTGAAGTTTGGAAACATCTCCCTCAGGGACTTACCTGCGTGATGTTGATAACATCTTTGACGAACGCAATGGCCTTGTCTGGCTGGAACTTGCACGTGCCGTTCTGTGCAGACGGAAAGCGGTCAGTGCCACAGCCCCCTCTGCACCCCCCGCTGCAGACACGCACCCGCCTGCCCGGCAGTACCTCAGCCCGGTACGGGTAGGCGTCCTCCCCCATCAGCCCTTTGTTATACATTATGTATTCGAAAGCTTGGCTTGGCAGGCCCCTGCAAAACAACACAGCCAGCATGCAGATTAATTAGGACAGCAACGCGGCAGCTTCTGCAGAGCACACCAGAAACCTTCCTGCACCTCCCTACAGACACGGAGAGGGAGCGAGGGGAAGGACAGCGTGCATCCCGCACCCTCTGAGGCACAAATTCTGGTCTGTTCCCGCAGCATCTCCCCACCTGGGAGCCCCGAACCAGTCCGTCCCACTGCTGGGCACAGTCCTACACGTGGGCCTGCACAGACACCCAACACCTCCTTCTCAGGGCTCCCTGGGGACAATGCCAACACAGGAGCCCCAAGACACGAGGCCACCAGGCCAAGGCCACACTGCTAACCCCGCTAACCGAGCTCCACCACAGGGGGACTTTGGCCTCTCCTCCTGTGAGGTTTTCTGTGACCTGTGCCCAGCCTGCAGCCAGGACCCGCAGCTCCCAGGGCCCCAGGACACAGCCTGGGGTGGGCAGGAGCCCCCTGAGCCCCCCTGCCTGGGGGGCACACGTGGGGATGGAAGGAAAGGGGAGCATGACCAGGGTGTGCTTGCAACAATGAGTCACGTAAAAGAGAAAACACACAAAAGTGGTTTTCTCAGCTCTCTGAGCACTCCTCAGGGACCACTTATCTTACAGGAAAAAAAAAAGATTTCAGAAAGCCCTTTTTTCTGCTTCTAGCAGCACCAGTAGGAATTTACCAAAGGGGAAGCAGAGGTTTCTGTGGGTCCTTACAGCGCCATGAGATATGCGTGACCCATGAGCAATGCAATAGATAAAACTTCCCTTGCTTTCCCTAAGCATGTAAGAGCCTAGCTACACAGCACTCGTGACTAGTATCTGTTAAAAAAAAACAAGTATCAGAAGAAAAACTAATAAAGAGGAGGAACAACAGAAGTTAGGAAGTGTTGGAGACTTTGCGAAACATTCTAACCTTCAGAGAGGGTGAAATTAAAACAAGAAAATGAAACAAAACAAAACCCCAAACCATTATCCCTGATACATCTCAGCTCAGGGGAAACAACATATCGAAGATTCTAAGAAACAAACATTCCAAGGTCTGGAAGGATCCTAACACCTGAGGAAGGCTGTCAAGCACGGACCACAAGATGCTCATGTTTATTCTTCACTACTTCAGCTTACTTACCCGCTGCAGCCATGGTTGTTAAAAGCCTGAGCGCAATCAACTAACTGCTGCTCCGCCTGCAGACAAAGTTTTTGTGTCAGTGTACGTACAAACAACTGCATTCAGAGCCAGGGAGACGGCACACAACGGGCAACATCTGGGTGCTGCTCCTATGGAGGCAGCCCCGGTGCAATCTGGAGTCACCCCTCTGGACAGGGCTACCACTGCCCGAGGCAGAAGGAGGAGGAAGAGGAGGGGAATGCGGCTCCCTGGGGAAGGCGCCTTCCTTCTCCGGCCTGCTGACACCGCCTGGCCCCCAGGCACTGGCTGAGATCTCGTCCAAAGGTCAAGTTTGTTTTTAACACTAATACCCAGCCCTCGGGTATGTCACTTGAGCGGCTGCTGCCTTTCCGGCCTTCAGAACAGAAAGGCTCCAGGAGCTCAGGAGTGTCCCCCCCGCGCTGCTCTCAATGCTCAGCCCCCGTGGCCTCATCCTGCTCGGGGAAAAGCTCTGCCCAAGGCACTCAGACCATGAGCAGGGACAGCAATGGGCACATCCCCAGGGACACAGAGCTCCTGGCTTCGTGCAGCTGCAGAGCTCTGCCCGCCGCAGGGACCCCTCTTACCAGGGAGAGCAGCTTTCCCGTGGCAATCGCGATCGCCGACTCCAGGCACCCCGTGGTAGAAAAGGTCCAGCAGCTCCCGCAGGGGCCCTGCGTTAGGAACAGGGGAGAAACTGGTCTGCAGTGCTCAGCCGGGTCACCAGCCAGGGCAGGAGGCATGGGAGGCACGGGAGGCTGCTGCCTCTTCCCACCCCAGTCCCAAGGGGGTCCCTGGGCAAAAAAGCCCACAGCAGTGCTCTCCTGCTCCTGCTGCACTGCCCATCGCTCCCGCTCCTCACCTGGTTTTTCACAGGTGTCACGTAGTTCCCTTTCTTCCTCCAGTCAACGGAGTCTGGATACGGCCCCGAGCTGCGCAGGAAGTTCCCCTTTGTGGCCGAGCAGTTCTACAAGCGAGCAAGGCGGGAGGGCTGCGGGCTCAGGTCACACAGCCACGGGGTGCTGGCCCTCGGGTGGGCGCGGAGCCCCCCGCGGCACAGAGCCCCCCATGGCATGGGCTCCCTATGAACCCACCTGGGGCTCTCTCCACAGGTACATCTTTTTGAACTCCGTGAAGGTCAGATCGGAGAACTGGTTGAGGCCCACTTATATGAAAAAAGGAGGGAGGAGGAATGCTTTATTAACCACAGAAGGGCGCTGAGGGTGGGGGGGCGAGGCCGGGGGCAGGGGCAGCTCCTACTTTCGAAGCTGTGGTTGCCGGCGTTGTGCTCGTCGATGCGCCGCTTGTTGCCCACGAAGACCCGCAGCCGGTGCCCGTACTCTGCCGGCCCGTAGCGCCTCCCGTTCTGCCACGAGGCGCACAAGTGGCAGCGCCCCCCGGGCACCCCCCCCGAGCCGCCCCCGGCCCGCACGGAGCCGCCCCGGCCCCGCGCCCCCGGGGAGCCGCTCCCGGCCCGGCTCGGCTCGGCTCGGTCCCCGGCGGCAGCGGAGCTTTACCTGCAGCATCCAGGCCTTGAAGAGCTGCTCCTCTGCGGGAGAGAGGACAGCGGCATGGCGGCGGCTCGCCCGGCTCGGCTCGCCCCAGCCCGGCTCATCCCGGCTCGCCCCAGCCCGGCACGGCTCGGCTCAGCCCGGCTCGCCCCAGCCCGTCCCCGGCCGAGCAGCTCGGGCCCGGCGAGCACCCGGAGCGGCGCAGCGAGCCGTGCTGACCCGAGCCGTGCCGTGCCGACCCGAGCCGTGCCACCCCGTCCCCTCCCGGTACCTTGCGCTGTGACCGCCGAGGCGGCGGCGGGCGCCAGGAGCGCGGCCAAAGCCAGCAGCACGGGGTAGCCCATCGCCGAGCCGTGCCGAGCCGAGCCGAGCCGAGCCGAGCCGTGCTGAGCCTCCGCGGGGCGGAGCGGGGCACCCGGGCCCTCCCCGGGGCGGGCCGGACCCGCCGCCGCCGGGCCCCCCCCCCCCCCGGGCACGGCTCCCCCTGACCCCCCCCCCCGGAGCAGTGCGGGGCCGGTGTTTGGCCACGGGTCAGGCTGATAAAAACGGCAGCAGTCCTCGTTCACCCTGAGATAGAATAGATTTATTAGCAAGAGGTAATCAGGAAACATATATTTTTACAAAAATGGAAATATTTTTCCAAACAAGCTGTAAGTTGAAATATTTTAGGGCTTGAAATAGAATTCTCATACCACGAGGTATTGCTTACAGCAAAAGTTTTCTGTCTGTTATAGTGGAGCATGCCTGCCACTTTAAAGTTAAACTGTGTTTATATACTGTACAATGTAAAAAATACATGGTAATATTCACAGAATAAGCACTACATTACTATATTCCTGCTAGAAGGTGGTTAGACAGGATTACAGTATATGTAATAAAAACACTCGGTCATTTTGTCTAATTCTACATCATGTTACTCAGTTGTCACAAGGAATACGGAGCTGTAGCATATCAACAGGAGCTTGCGGGAGCAGAATGCAGCTAAGGGCACGAGGTCCGTTTCCTCTCCCCGCTCGCAGCGGGCTCGGTTCCGCGCAGGAGCCCCCTGGCAGGGGGTGGTGGCACACAGGGAGGGCAGCTTGGTCCGCTGGGGTGGCTCGGACGGGTGGGTGCTGTCCCGCTGCCCTGCAGAGCCGGGGCCACGGCCGCGTCCCCCTGCCCCGCAGCCCGGTGCCACGCAGCCGCTCCCCAGGCTGGGCAGGGGAGGCGAGTGCCCGCGCGGCTCCTGTACGTCCCCCCCCGCCCTGCTGTCCCCGGCCCCCTCGAGAAGAGCAAATGACAAAAATTAACATCGTCGAAAAGAAACCGGGACTCCAGCAAAGTGTCAACGCGTGAAACCTCAAACAACGCGGGGAATCCTACGCGAGGGCTACTGCAGCCTAACACCGAGGGGCTGGGTTTGCTCGGAGAAGCACAGAGGTGGGAGTCACTGCAGGGCGCCCGACATGAACAAGGAGCTATGTACAGGGTGCTAGAGCGTGTGTACACGAGCAGCCGCCGGCCGCTCTCCGGCTTCAGGAAGGCAGCTTGGGCTCTATTCGCAGGGACGCTTCGTAAAGGGTCTCCTCATCCATCACGAACGTCTGGTCCAGCAGGTACTGCGTCACCTGGGGACGGGGCAGAGCGTTAGCGCTGTGCTCACCTCCACCCCGCACCTAACGCCGAAATGAGGAACGGGGAGAGGCCGAGAAGGGCCCGCGGTTCCTGCCAACAGACACAGGCACTGCACGTGCTTATCCCACCCCAGGATTGCAAAGTCATCCAGTCCCCACTTGCTCTTCTGCTTTTCTTGCCTAGCCGTCCTCTGCAGGGCTGTGTTATCAGCCACACAGCTCTCTTAGGTTGAGAACACCAAATCCTGATAACGAAGGCCCTCTAACCTTAGCACAGGGAACGCAGGCTCTTGCTGTGGGAATGCTGCTGACAGGGCAGGACATTTGCTCTGGCGTTAGCAGAAAACCTGCTAGCAGTTCCTGGGAGAGTTTTTCCCCAGTGCCATTTTGGGTCCTGGTGCAGCCGGTGCTGGCTGGAGGGGGGCATGGGGTGGGGGGGTTGCAGTCAGCTGGCAGCAAAGCACCAGCAGCAGGTGCACTCGGGGGTGGGCAGTTTTCAGTGAGTTTCTCAGGCCTGGGGAGCTTTCACAGACACTTCTCCTTTCCCCAAGCACCAGAGGCCAAGAGGAGGCAGGGATTTATCTGGTGCGTCCCGGTGAGACCCAGCTGCACCAGCCTGGCCCCTCGCGGGTACCAGGCTGTGGGTACCAGCGCTGCAGAAGTGAAAATCAGAGCCTGGATCCCAGCTGGTGGTCATGGTCCAGAGGAACATGAGCAGCTCCTGCCACCACCCCAGGAGCCCCCAGCACCCCAGGGGGGGTTTGGTGCCATGGCTGGGGCACGGCACAGGCTCAGCGGATGGCTGCAGGGCAGAGGCACTGCTCCAGGATGGGCCCTGCTGCTTCTGGAGAGCAAGAGCCCTGCAGGCAGCGGAAACCCCGCACCACGACGATGTTTCCTGGGTGGTTCCCTTGTGCAGCAGCAGAGGAAGCACGAGGGTGGCCACAACTTGCCATCTCCTCACACGTGTGGGGTACCGCATGGCAGAGGCCACCAGCGCCAGGCTGTGTGGGTGGGACGGTCTGTAACTCGGCACGGTGACTCCTCCTGGTCTAGCCTGGGCTGGGACAGCCCAGCTGCAAGCTGGCTGCTTGGCACAACTTTTGGGGGTCAGGGAGAGGACACAGAGTGGCTCTGCTCTGTGCAAAGCTGCTGAGGGAAATGGCAGCACCAAGGGAGGGACACAGCCGCTGTGCTGCATCGCACTGTGGTCCCTGCAAGCAAGCAGTGCTGTGCGCTTTATCATCTCTCCAAGCAGCCCCAGGAGCACCCCAGGGTGGGCTAACCGCCCACCCTGCCCACCCCTGCATAGCCTGGCCAAGGCAGCCCTTGGTGCACACATCGCAGGTCCCGTGCTGTTAGCCACGCGCTGTGGGTGCACGGGGCGCTGAGCGAGCACAGCCTGGACACGACCCCAGCTCTGCCGAACGCCCACAACGGCAGGAACCACATCGGGAGGAAAGGTCAATGCTCAGCCCGTGCTGAGGCCTGTTGCATCCAGGCGTGGTGGCTGCCTGAAGCAACGCCTCCCCTGCAGCACCCAGGGGAGCTGCTGCGGCTGCCCTCGGTCCCTGCAGCCCTGCTGAGCCCCTGCAGCACAGCACAGCAGCAGCAGGGAGGCACCAGCCACGCTTCTGCTGCAGCAGCAAACACCAAGGGAGCACCAGACGCAGTCCCACTGCCACTTGTTACTCATTCCTCCTTTCAGCCCCAGGTAAAACACGAGCTCTGGCCAAGTGCCTGCCTGGGAGCCGCTCTCCTGCACAGGGGAACCCCCCCAACCAGGGACCCCCTCACCCCCTCGCTGTGCACGGCTCTGCTGCTCCCCGGCCACTCCAAGCACGGGGAGCACAGAGGTCCCACATCTTCCCCAAAGGAGCTGCCACAGATCCAAGGCTCGGGCGCTGCAGCTCAGGTGGGGCACGAGGAGAGGAGGGAGCGTGCGGCCCTCGTACCTTAGGCTGGTGCTCGATCTTGTAGGAGGTTTGCTGGAACTGGCGGATCTCTCTTATGATGTGGGAAATCTGTCCAGGGAGAGGACAAAGCTGCTGTTAACGGCCCTGCCACCAGCACTGCCACCACGTCCCGGCACCAGCGGGGCAGCGAGCCACCGCCCTGCCCGCATCCTTCCACCCCAGCACACAGCGGGGCCGCCTGGTCCCCTTTGTACCTGTCCAGGACCCAGAGCCACCGGTCCCACAGCCTGGCACAGCGGGGCCACAGCACTCACCATCCTCATTTTGGAGAAGTTCACCAGCCCGTCCTCGGTGTAATTGGGGGTCCCCTCCTCTATGAAGGCCAGGTCGGTCAGGTACATCCCCAGGTAGGGGACACAAGGAGGGTCGCAGCTTCAGGAGCGAATGGGAAACGAACGAGAGAGAAAACTTCCTTACTCGGGGCTTGCCTGGGCTCTGCAGGGGAGGGAGAAGGGTCGGGCCCCACAGAGGTCAGGGTTTGAAGGGTTCTCTAACGCACAGGGACTCCAGAGCTCATCCCTGCAGCCTCCCTGCAGGCTGACACCATCAATGAAACCCACCCGGGAGGCCCTTTTGTTCACGTCTTCCTGCACCGCTGCCCACAGGAGCAGCACATTATTTGGGATTGCTCTGCAAGCTGCTGCCCTGTGCCTGCTGGACGGGACTTCCCATCAGCACGGGCTCTGAAATGAGCTCGTGAGCGAGGTCTGGACCCGTGGTGCCTGCACAAAGCGAGAGCCTCCCCGACGGGGCGCAGCGCTGGGCCGGGGCCTGTGCCAGCCGCGGGGCATCGCCGCCCACACTTACTTCTTCAGCGCCTCCCTCAGGTTCTTGAACCTGCCCTCCGACGACACCAGCTTCTGCAGCTTGTCGATCAGAGCCTTTGTCTGCAAGAGACCCAAGGGTTTGGGGCAGGGTGGGAAGAGACCCCGTCCCCGGGGCCGCCCCATGCCGCCCGCCCTGCTGCAGCCGCTGCGAGGAGCTGAGCGAGCGCTGGAAAGCAAAAACCTCCAGCATGTACTAGGGATTGGCAATGCACAGCTCCCCTCCCCTACCTCCCACCTGCTCCTTCTCCAGTGCCTGTCTAAATTTACAGGTTTGGCTTTTTGCAGGAAAAAAAACAACCCACGATGCTTCAGATTCCGAGAGGAGCCCACACAGCAGCTCCGGCAGCCCCTGGGCTCAGTCAGACTCCATACAAGCTATTTCTGTACCAAGTAAACCAACACGTGAATTAATTTTGCTCGTCCATATTGGTACAAGGAGCCCAAAAAACAGCTTAAAGAAGCGCGCACACGTGTGCACTGCAACAACCACGCTTCAGAAAAGGCTCCTGGAGCTGCAGGCACAGCCAGCCTGACCCGACGGCTCAGCCCCGCGCCGTACCTGCTTGGAGACCTTGAGCCAGGTTTTCTTCAGGCGGAAGATGGCACTGCGGTTGAGGGAGGAGGTGATCTCCAGCACGGCGTTGTAGTTGTGCAGGCAGCGGCAGATATCCGCCACGGCCACCCACTTCTCGATGGAGCTCACCCGCGCGTTGATCTCCTCGTTGCGCAGGATCTCAGACGCTATCAAGTTACTGACCTTCAGGAGGACAACAGCCCCAGCCCGGAGTCACAAGGGCAGCAGCCTCTCCCCCCCTCAGCCACAAGCTCTCCAGCTTTTTTTTTTTACAAGATTTCCCTTTTTTACAAGATTTCCCTTTTTTACAAGATTTCGCTGCAGCAGCAATGGGCGCAGAGGAGCCCGCACGCCTGTGCCACGAGGCACCCCACCTGCGGTGTTCCCCAGAGCACCGAGCACCCATCGAGCACAGACGGAGGCAGACAAAACCTGCAGCCCC